ATACATAGGATTATTACGTTTTTCTTTTTTCAGGATAATCTGGACGAGCCGTTGGTGCAGGAGGAGCTGGACACAAGTAATGGTGTATTATTCCCTCTCTATGACGAGGACAGTAATCTTGTTTATTTGGCTGGAAAAGTGAGTTAGTTTCCACCTACACTGTTTGCTTAACTAAGTTTTTTTCTTTTTTTTGTGAGAAACCCTCTTTTATGAGGGAAATGAGGGAGTAAACATTGAGGCGAAGTGTGTTCTCAGGGTGACTGTGCGATTCGCTATTATGAAGTGAACAATGAGTATCCGTTCGTGCATTATATCAATACCTACACAACATCGGAGCCGCAACGGGGAATTGCATTTATGCCCAAACTTGGCCTCAATTCCAATGAAAATGAGATTGCACGTATTTATAAAGTCACAACCAAGGGAGTTGTGGATGAATTACAGTTCTTCGTACCGAGAAAATCGGATTTGTACCAGGTATTTGCTTTTTCCGAAATTGTTTGAGCTGCTTTTCAAACTGTTCCAAAATGAACCCTCTGAAGAGCTCAGATCCTTGAAATCTTTGATTTTATGTAAAAACCGAGATACTCATTTTTACCAGTTGCAATTTGTAGTGTCGTTCTGCAACTATCTAGTTTACGGCTTTCCCACTTGCTCTGGCCAGTATCGTCTGGTGGTCAGCAGCTTGCTGCCGGCGATCAAAATTGACGTTAGTTTCATCTAGTGAAGGGATTACCAGCTGAATGGTTCTACCTACAGAAGCACTTAGCAAAAGTTTACCCGGCTGAAGATGTCACTGTTGGATGTGTTGAGCATCAATACTTTAACCTAGGCTTATATGGCAAATAACTACGATTGTGCCTCATCCGGACTTCTTATCTTTCGGCAATGTAGAATTTAATATTTGAACTAGAAACTGTTATTTAGACCGGCTGGCATATTGCAGACAGAAGTAGCACTGCGGTCCTGTAATAGATCGAGAATTCGAATCTACCGGTAAGCCAGCCAGTCCCTCCGCAATTTGTCCATTCGTTTCGATGGTAAATTGGTACTAACATATGTCAGCGAGCCAAACCCGCCATCAGTTTGCGTGTAAACAATCGCTCGAAAAAGAGATCCATCGAAAAATTGCTAGGAGGCGGGGGGAGAGGAAGCTATTACTGACATTTACTACAACTTGAGCTACTTCTCGAGTACCTCCGCCTTTCATAGAGGGCAAATAAATGTAGAGGAGGATTTGTTTCTTGGTTTGACTGTTATTCAGGACTATTGACTGATATTCAGTTTATTTCCACTCCCATTGATCCATGCATTTGGGGTATTTTTCAAGGCATTGTTGTGTAGAAAATAACTGCCATGCACTAGTTCAATTGCATTTTCGTGATCTGTTTCAGACGGATTTGTATCCGGATACCCGCAGTCATATCCCAGCACTCACTGCCGAGCAGTTTATTGAGGGCCAAAATGCTCCGCCGAACTTGGTACCAGTGAACCCAGATGCAGCCATCGCCAAGCCAAAAGTACAAGTGGCCAAAAAAGCCAACATTCTTGCTCAGCTCCCACCCAGGTAACAGCTTATTTCTGTTCGTATTCATCTCATTAAGGCTTAATGTAATGCATTTAGGCATGTCACTAGCAAGGAAGAGAGAAAGAAAGAGAAGCGAAACGGAAATTTGAACCTCTTTCTCTTTGTTCCCCCCTTTATTTGGCATTTCTCGGGCATTTTATCGGGAAAAATCTTGTTCCTCCAGTGATTTTGGAATCCTCTGATTACAGCCGAGGTTTGTATAAAACAAACTAACTCCATAAAGCACTGTTGGGCGAAATTTGATGGCGATCTGCGTGTCTTTCAGCTCTTTTTTCTTCCGATGGGCTTGTAAAAAAAATAGCTTTAACACAAGAAAAATTCCGACAGTTTTTGGTTCTGAACTAAGCTAAAGAAATACTGCAGCCAGGAGTCGGCCCCACCTCGTCAGCAAGTTGAGCAGAAAAGAATTTCCTCATATGAAGATGTAACTCGCGAGGAATCGGCCGCTTTATCCCGGCAGTCAGCAAGACCGAAAAGCATGCTTGTTGGACCAGTGGACGAGGATACCGGTATCGTGAGGATAGAACGTGCTGGTACCGGTGGTAGTGGCGGCGGTGGAGCAGCCCCGGAACGTGAACAACGTCCACCGAGACCGCGTAGTCCGGAACGTCCAAATCCGATGATCCCTCGCCAACAGGTATTACTTGCCTCAATTTTAAATAAATTAAAATTTCGACTAAGATTGGACTCGAAGAGCCCGTAGCATCACACATCAGATTCTTTGATTAGCACTGTTTCATCATTGCATTCCTTCTCGCTAATGATGCAGCTGGCAACTTCTCCATCCTCTTCTGTTTTGGGTCCCACTCATTCACATAATCCCGTGCAGTTATTCAGACGGGATCATTCCACAAAGTTGGGATAGCCTCTCCTGTATGGTGTATGTCAGTCGGTGTTGTAGTTTTCACTCATCGCATAGCAAAACTTGCAGATGTGAAAGACGGGACCGAAAAATCAGATTTATACATAAATGCTTCGCTTTGCTGATGGCTAAGGGGAAAAAATGCTTCGCTTTATTAATAGCTTTTTTTTTTAAATTTTCGCTCTTCAGTGAATGTTTGCAACAGGGGCTGATTTTTTTGCGACAGAATGATAAGTGGTACTTTGAGATGCATACATACATCGAACGGCATTGGTACCACTGGAGGTATGCAGCTTAGGATCGAAAAGCCTGGCATATCTGCGCTCGGCATGTGGGGGAACTCCCAGCTGGATCATTTGCTTCGGCCTCCTACCCAGGCGGCCTCACTGTTCTTATGTGTGGCACTTTGACAAGCTGCAGTCGTTTCTTCTGTATTCATCCTTAGTTGTCCGTAGAACTTGCAATCTTCCAGTAATTTTTGCGACGGAATGTGACTCATTGAGGAAAATCCGCGGGAAGCCGGCAAAAAAAAACTCCACACAAGAAGTATATACGGCCCAAAAAGAAAGATGTATTCTGTTGTGAAAGGCATATTTATAATAGAACTGCTGAGGAATTGAGACTGGGCCACAAGAGCCGGTGTTACAGTGAATAGCATCTCTCGCCCATTAGCGCTTTAGGTATAAATCAACAGTGAACTAATTACCGCTTCAAGTCTTCAAGTTTTGATTTCAACTCACTGATCATATGTTTATTTTTAGGTGCAGCTGCGATCGCATATGGACAGAGATGGCGCACAGATGACCCCAGGCCAGAGGAGAATAACGGCTGATTTGGAACGCATCAAGAGAGAGAAGGATCGCGAGCCGGATCGAGACGAACAACTTGCACCGCCACAGCAAATGATGCATTCGAATTCGGCATCACCAAGGCATAGTGTAAGCGGCGCATCCGAGGTAAGTACAGATTTCCTAGCCTTCCGAGCAGCTAGTGGTATTCTGATGATACCTTGTTTTTATGCGTTTTTTGCTGTGTAACAGCAGTACAAAACACATATTGTCACGGGGTTGTGTGCGTGTGCGTGTGTGTGTGTGTGTGTGTGTGTGTGGTCAGCCTGCTAACGATCTTTTTTTTTTGTCTTCTATTCCGAACGGTTGACCAGCTCACTAGTCCGGCCAGAGTATCTCTGGGAAATGTTGTACTGCCATTTCAAGAGTCCAGAAAAGCTTTAACTTCTCCGGGAAGTGATTAGGAGAAGCTGCCAATTTTGACTCAAAATGAGTCACTTAAGCACACATGTGAGGAGTGATGGAGATTTCGATGTTTTTCTGAATTCGATTAAAAACCGACAGGGAGGGGGAAGGTAGAGAGTAGGGAAGCTGGCTTAGATTTTAATTGTTTTTTACATTGCCGAAGTTTTTGATTTTTAACCGTGTACTGTCGAAGGTTGTACGATTAAAGGGGAAATTTTAAGATGATAGAATAAGAGATAAAGAGTCAGCCTAAATATCATGTGCAGGAAGACATGTTAAGAAGCGGTCAGTGTTTCATCCCTTAGCTGTAAACATAGGCCAGATGTGGCACGCAGGTAAATCGAAATTGAGGTAAAACTGATAAAAGTAATTGGTTTCTAAATTGTGGGGACAAAAATATTGGCAAAGGGCAAAAAAGTGGCTAATGCATTTCGATGGAATTTAGTGATGTCCTATGTTTCAGCCAAATTCGATGGAGGAAGTGCTCGCAGATTTGAACAAAATCAAGGCAATTCTACGACAA